AGCTCAGCTGCTCAGGTCCCGCAGCAGTGTGGTCGCAGAGAGCCCGAACCGCCCTGGGGTCAGAGGGAGACGCTGGGGTGAAGGGGCAGCCTGGGGGCCCGGTCTCTGAGCCAGCCCAACCTGCCGCTGCAAGCGACCCTCGTACTCCCAGCCAGCCCCGCTCCTGTCCCTGGCAGGGCAAACGGCTCCACCTGCAACTCAGTTGCTCCTGGCAGATGCGGGCACCTCTGTCCTCACATCCAGTCTGTCACCCAAACTGGCCTGGTGTCCGTGACAATTCAGTGTTCTAGTTTTGGCCTCGTATCTGGACCACGGTTTCCCTGCATCTTTCTCGGTCTCTTCCCAGTACCGCTCTCCACATCACAGTCAGAGATCGTGGCAAAACGCAGGCAGCGCACCACTGCTGGGCTCATGGCCCACAAGGGCTCCACTGACCCCGGGTAACGTCCGGCTCCTCAGCCGGCCCACAGAGCCCTCCGTCACATGCCGCCTCTGCCTCCTGTTCCTCCTGCCAGTGGCACATTTCCCTGCCATCACCAAGCCTCCCTTAAGTTCCCAAGCTGGGGACAAGGCCTTTCCACAGCTCTCAATCTGTATCAGCACCGCACCATGAGCCCCTTGAGAGCACAGATTCCAACACGCTGACCTGAAGCCCCTCCTAGCATAACGTGCGGTGCACAGGAAGAGCCTGAAAAGCATGGCTGGATGAGTGGAAAGTCAAGAACTCAGTTCAGTGGACTGAGAGAACACAAAAGGAGATCTCAAAGCACAAATCTGAAACTTCCACTAAAGAGACACACAGTTCCTCAGTGTACACACACCTACTTGTGCCAGATGCTTTTATAAAATTATGTTTTATCTTCAGAGCAACAATAACAAGTATGAAAACTGCCCTATTTTCACTTACAGAGAAAGAAACTAAGGGTCAAAGAAATGAGTGCCACACCAGTAATACAGAGAAAAAGCAAATAAATAGCAATACAAACTACTGATTTTAAAACCCTCCCCTGGCCAGGAGTGGTGGCGCACGCCTGTAATCCCAGCACTCAGGAGGCTGAGGCAGGAGGATCACTGTGAGCTCGAGACCAGCCTGAGCTACATAGTGAGTTCCAGGACAGTCTCAACCACATAGTGAGACCCTGCCTCAAAAAAACAAACAAACAAAAAAAACCCTACCCACTGACAACTGCAGAGCTGCATAGGCAGCTCCAGGTCCTCACCTGTGGGCCTGCACCTGGCCAGGTGCAGAGGCCACAAGCTCCTGGGGAGGAGGAGTCTCGGGGGGCGGCCCCCGCTTCACCAGAGCCAACACGCTCACTGCTGGGGGGAGCCAGCTGGATGGCCGCCTGCAGGAAGAACACAGGGTTCGCAGGGACCGGCCCAGGGCCCAGACTAGCTCTAAAAGGTCAGGAGTTGGCACTGCTTAGGACAGGGGGCCAGCTGTGCATCACAGGTACCTCTGGGGCAATTAGGAAGATGACAGCAAATGTCTTAGGATATGGAAATTTACAGGGACCTACGGTCCTGGAAGGGTCTGTCCAGGCCCGAGAACACCTGCAGCCATTAAAGAGCCCCCAGTGGGCAGCCCCAGAGCAGGTGTTAGCAGACTTCTGCTTTCCTTTTGCTCGAGGTTGTTAAACACTGCTGATTAACGATTACCGAAAGCTCGTGAGTCACTAGAGTTTCAAATGAGGCCCCGGGGTTCTGATGGGGTCGGCGTCAGGGAGCAGACAGCTCTCCCATACCTGGACTTCTGGGCTCCACTCTCCTGCTCTGTGGGGCCCTCCGGAACGCCAAACAGTCTCCCCAGCCACACGCCTCTGCCCGGGGCCGCTTCCTCTGCGGGCAGCGGTCGTCCCTGTGCTCTCTCAGCGGCGGCTCCAGGGCGCCTGGACCGCCACCGGGGAAGAGGGAAACCCTCGGTTCCCCCGGAGGCATAGACCTGGGAGGCCTGGGTCAGCTGCTCCCACCAGCTGCCTGGGGTAGGACTGGCCGGGGCAGAAGGGGCAGAAGGGGCAGAAGGGTCGGGGGCCTCCCCGGAGGCCGCGCGGAGA